CTTGTAAATAAAAAGTAAATTTTATGAGTTATTTACAAGTTTTTTACGAGTTTCTTACATAAAAACAAAAACTTGTAAAAAACTTCTTTCTTTTACATTTTTTTTACGAGTTTTTTATGTGTTAATGAAATTCACAAGTTCTTTACATTTTTTTTACGAGTTTTTCACGAACCGTTGCTACAAGGGTACATCTATGCACAATTTTATTCTTCGGAAGTGAAAACAAACAAAAATTAATTCTTGAAATTATCAGAAAGTATTCTATTGACAGGGAGGAAAATCAATAAACATTTTGGGAAACAGTGCTCGTATTAGTTCCTTTCATGTAAAATAGAATGAGAGCTCAGAGTATGTACCCTGCTAAAGATGAACATGTAGGTAACACGTTGAGACCATGTTGTTATCAACATGGTCTAAAACGCCCATGTTCGTGTCAAGATGATGTCAACATGGTATCAACGTGATATCAATTTTAGATAAAAGTCCAACATGATACCAACATGCTAGCAATATGGCAAGTCCCAATATGATATAAACATGATTTTAAAAAAATGTTGTCAACAACATTGCACAAATATGGTAACATGATGATATCAATTTGGACTTTCTTACCGTCATGATAAAGAGTTGATGTAAAGTTGGTATCTATATTGTCAATTATCAATATGATACAAGCATGGTAACAATATTGTGCTCATCACGTTGACCAAACTAAATTTGTGTCAAGAGTCCATCCATCATTTATGTCAGAGAGTTGAGTGTGATCCATCCTGTCCAAGTCACAAATCTATCAAATAGGTTTCGGGATGGTTCTGTGAATTAAGTGCTACGTTTTCTCAAAGACGAATCCTAGAGAGACGAGGACACCCTCCCTCCCCCCCGATGCTCATTCTTTGCGATCTAACGATCCGCGAATCTCACACAGTCACAGTGGTCGGTGTATGGGCTGCCGGACGTCGGCAAAACGTATGGCGAGAGATGCACCGATTGTGGTCTAATTAAACCGTTGAAGGCACTCCGAGCGCAGATAACCAGTTAGAACAAAATATTTTGAAAATATTGTAAAAATACTGCCGTTGTTTGGAAAATATTTTCAAGAAAATAGTGCCACAAAACTAAAATGTAAATAAAATTTTACAATATCTTTTGAATCAAATTTAAAAAACATTAGAATTCATTATTTTTAAAATATGTTTGCAATATTTAAATACAATTTTTTTTAAAAAAAGTTTTAAAGCAATTGGTAAATATTTACATTTTTAGTTGTAAAAATAAAACGAAATATAATATTAAAATTATTAATAAAATATTGAAAACAGTTTATTTTTAAATTAAAGTCAATAAAAATTTTAAAAATATTCGGAAAAAAATTGCAATTTTATTTTGGACAGCTGTATCCGAAATATAACATCCGTACTCCGCGTCATCTTGATCTTGACTTATCACTACCTGGTCGTCAGCAAAGCATAGCCTGAACAGTGTTTCTTGGTCATTCAGAGAGACGCCCATTCCGGCACACTTCCTTTTCCATTCCTTCAGAACGTGCTCTAGATATATCTTAAATAGCGTCGGTGACAGACAACATCCCTACTTAAGCCCCTTGGTGACAAAAAAACCGTCTGAAAGCCTTCCTTGGCACTTGATTCTGGCAAAAGCCCCCCAATAAAACTGCTTGACTGCCCCAATAAGTCCTTTACTAAAACCAGTTTCTTCTAGAACTTCCCAATGTTTCACAAGCCACCATCATAAGCCTTTTCAATATCCAAAAACACTAAATTAAGCTCCTGGCCAACAATCCTCTTCTTTTCGGTTAACTGGGTAACACAGAACAGATGACCAGCGGTAGACTGACCAGCCCTAAAATCTGCTTGCTCCTCTGCCTCGAACGGGGTCCACTCCTCTTCGATCTTTGCTTTCAACACTTTTCCATAAATACTTATCGTTCCTGTCACCGCTAACCCTCTGTAGTTCTCACAGTCATCCTTCCTTCCTCTTTTATGCGACGCTGTTATCCAGGCCTCTTTCCATTCTTCTGGGATGCTATCACCAGCAATGCACTTCTACAGCAAATCCCTGAGATGGTTAACCAACTTGCCAGTTCCACATTTAATTAACTCGGCTGGAATGTTCTATGGTCCAGGAGCCCTTCCATTCATCCATTCCCTGATTGCTTTGACCACCTCCTCAACTCGAATTTCCACTGAGTGATCCTCGACTATATTTTCAGCATTCCCCGTTTGAAACTCTGGTCGTCCTTCCGTCAATAATTTACTAAAATGTCATAAAATGTTCGTCAAGCTGCGAGATTGTTATCGGAGGTAAAAGGTCCCGTTTCATGTCCCTTCTTAGGCCGTTGATCAGCTTCCAGCTCTCAACACTCTTCCGTCCCCCGAGGTACGTGTCAATCCTTGAGCAGTTGTTCTCCCAAGACTCGTTTTTCTTCCTGGTTATTAAAAGACGAACCCTCGCCTGGGCTTTCCTATACACAACGCGGGTGTCTGTAGTCCTTGAAGCCAGATAGTTATGGTACTTCCTACACTTTTCTTCAATTACCTCCTCTGCCTCTTTGTCCCACCAGTAGGGTTTCTGTACATTCTTGCTCTCATTACACATACCCAGGGCTTCCTTTGCAGCTGAATGTATACAACTTTTGATGAACTGGTACAACTCTTCTGCAGTATCGAAAGTTTCTACTCCCAGTTTCTCATCGAGCCGCTTCCTGTAGAGCGCTTTCACGCTTTCATGCTGTAAGCTTTCGATGTTGTAGTGCACTTGTTCGATCTTCGTTCCTTGTGGCTGGCACTTTTGATGTTGCAAGGTATTCCTCTGCAGCCCATACTTAACCGGAAATGCAATCTCCGCCTTGAGAAAATGGTGATCACTACCACAGGAGAACCCCCGGCAAACTCTTACTTGTTGAACCTTCATGCTACTCGTTTGCCTGGTGACCGCGTAGTCGATGATTGACTTCAGCCCCCGAGTTTGCTGAACCCATGTGTACTTATGGATACCTGCCTGAGCTGAACACTCTCCCCCTTCAGTTACGTACTGGTGCGCATTAGAGTTCTAAAAATGTATTTTTGACTCTAATTTTAATTTTTGGTACTTCTTTGTTCAGCAGCGACGGTAGATGGCGCGAGGATCACACTTTTGTGTCATGCCTCGGGTCATATCCATGACGGCGTCTTAATGCCGGCTTGGATTTTGCGGCATGTTAAGTTGGGTTCACTGCCGAGTGTGATCTGCTGTGAGGTCTAATAAGGCCCAAACCGGTATAGATCTCTCGGCGTGGCTCCAACTTAATATTCCAATGCAAACTGCCTGAGCTGAACACTCTCCCCCTCAGTTACGTACTAGTGCACATTAGAGTTCTAAAAATTTATTTTTGACTCTAATTTTAATTTTTAATACTTCTTGGCTTTGATTCCCCGCGAAATTGTGTGGACCCAGCACCATTTCTCCACCTTGTTACTTATGGATACCTCGATGTTGGTAGAATCCGTTCAGTATTTTCAACTCGTTTTGTTTACACATATCAATGACGTGTGCACTAAATTTTCACAACGATTGACACAATAACGTCCATAGAACCTAAAAAAACAGACGTTGTATCTTAACTGACGGTGGCTGTAGCTTCGTCGAATTTAACTTTCCGACCCAAGTTGATGAAATGTAAAAATTACCCACTGAAATGCCTCTGGTTTTACCGGAAACGCACCCCACTGTAAAAGTCCTGCTACTTAAGTCCCATTTCGCCTGATTCACCACGTATAAATGTTGATGGAAAATTCAGCCTGATAATTCGGTTTTACTGAAAAAAAGTAAAAGCTGTTATGAATTACCTTAAGGCCAAGGCTCAATTCTTTCAAAGACCGGCGTATCTCTCGCATCAGAAGGTTCATTCGCTCACATTCTTGCACTGCCACCACAGTGAATGGTGTTTTATCTTCAATTTTACTTATCATATCAGGTATATTGAATTCATCTGGAACTTTGTCGAGGATTTCATCTAAAACTTGTCTCACCTGGGGTGCAAAAACAATACAACAGTAATTTCGGAACAAATAGACAAAGTTGTAGTAAAGGATGCGACAGGAAAACATGTTATACATACAGGGTGTTTTAGACCACCCGTGCCAGGTCTTTTTCTTGGTTGTTTTATGTCGCACGAAGTCGGAGACCGCGGGGTTGAATAGGGAATTGACCCCCAAGGAATCCAAATTTCGTGGTCCCGAAACCCCCCCCCACTCCTCCTTGGGGGGTAAAGGGGGGGGGGTCACGATGTTAAAAGCCACGGTTCCTGACCGAATTGCGGATAAATCGCATCAGAATTGAAAAGCTCGAAAAATTTCACGTGAAATTGACCCTTAAAAATCCAAAATCGGCCCATCCAAGGCCCAAAAATGATCCCTAAAGAGGAGAACAGTACCCCCTCCATAATGACTCTTTGGTCTCAAAATTGACGTAGATTCTCCAGAAAAAGACGGCTTATCAGGTAATCGACCCCGAAAAATCCAAATTTCATGGTCCCGAAGCTCCTCTAGCCTCCCTTGGGGGGTAAACGGGGGGCCCAATTTTAAAAACCGGGGCTCCTTTCCGATTCGCAAATTGATGGCATCCAAATTGAGGAGCAGAACACATTTACATCTTAAGTGACCCCCAAGAGTTCTAATTGACCCCACCTGAACGGCAGAAAATAACCCCCTGAGGAGGAGGACCTCGCGCCCTCCAAACATTTCTCAAGATTCCTCTTTGGTCTCAAAATTGACGTCGACTCTCTACTCCAGAAAAGGCGGTTTTCAAGGTAATCCCAAAAGGGCGGGTAGCAGAGCTCAGGGACCATGAAATTCAGCGTCCTCGGGGTCGATTACCTGGGAAACCGTCTTTTTCTGGAGAATCGACGTCAATTTCGCGACCAAAGAGGAATCTTGAGAAATTTTTGGAGGGCGCGAGGTCCCCCTCCTCAGGAGGTTATTTTCTGCCGTTCAGGTGGGGTCAATTAGAACTCTTGGGGGTCACTTAAGATGTAAATGTGTTCTGCTCCTCAATTTGGATGCCATCAATTTGCGAATCGGAAAGGAGCCCCGGTTTTTAAAATTGGGCCCCCCGTTTACCCCCCAAGGGAGGCTAGAGGAGCTTCGGGACCATGAAATTTGGATTTTTCGGGGTCGATTACCTGATAAGCCGTCTTTTTCTGGAGAATCTACGTCAATTTTGAGACCAAAGAGTCATTATGGAGGGGGTACTGTTCTCCTCTTTAGGGATCATTTTTGGGCCTTGGATGGGCCGATTTTGGATTTTTA